CTCCACATAGTAGAGGGGACCATTTCCATTATAATAGCAAATATTCCAAGTTCAGATGTTCCTCTAAAGGCAATTTTTTTAAACATAATTTCAATTCGCTGACCTTTTCTGAGTTTGCCACATTTCTCAGCGACTTCATGCTTTTCTGCAAAGTTTTAAGTGACTTTCTTTGAAGAGAGCTATTTAATGCCAATGATTGTAGAAAACATTTGTTCATAATTATCCAGACATAGACTGGAACAATGCTGAAACAAGAGCAGCATGCAAAAATGTATTTAAGGACTATCATCCCAAAATGCTGCTAAAAGCTATTAACCAGTATGTGTTAATTGCCACAGCATTCATATTAATTTTCACTTCAGGCTCGACATTGTGGAATATTTCCCCTGATACATTTTAAACAAAGTTTAATTTAAGGAACTGCTTCTATCAACACTTATGAAAATTAACAGCCAAGCAATTAGCACTCATGAATTATCCCTTCCCCCATGCTCTCTGCAGCTTCAGTTAAAACAGTTTCTAACAGAGAAATGGTTACTTTCTAATAAGTTAACACAATCAAAGTCACAGTTGTCTAAATGAACAAGAACTGGTTCTGCTTTTTCAAGCACTTGTTAAGGCAAACGTTCTCCTTATAGTTAAAGTAGAATTTAGCTAAGGCAAATAAACATTTAGCATTTTAGTAAACTGCTAAGCAATTACTAATCTAGAACTACCTCCTATCATGCTTTGCTACTCTCCCCCACAAAAAAAGGAAGTAATTACTTGTCTTAATCTTTCTATTTAAAGTTAAAGGCCAAAACCTCAAAACTTCACTGGACTCCCTGGACTTCACACAGCCCACCTTCACCCAGTCTGCTGCACATCTTGTTTAACGATGCTATTTCTAAACTCCTGGTTTTAAGAACACATTTCCTCTGAATCCTGTCAATAATCTAATGAAGTACACAGAAAAGACAGCATCACTGGCCCTCATCCTTTACACAGAGAAAGGAGCAAAAGTGGGGTATTTGTTGAGTCCTTCTGTTACGTGCTACATGTCTTGGTAAACAGACCTTATCTCAATTGATCCTCATAAGGAAGACACATTATCATCATCTCAACCCACAGAGGAGGACTGGAGCTTCATGAGGTTAAGAAACTAGCCTGAGGTCGCATCATAAGTGGTGGAGTCAGGATTCAACTTAGGTCTTACTACAAAATAGGTCTACTTACTAAGTAAATTATACTGCTTCTCTTGTGCTCGGTGCTCTATCCTAGTATTATCTTATGTGATGGTCACATCAGCCTTGTGAGGAAGGAACTCTCATTTCTTTTATCAGTAAAGAAACCGAGGTTTGGAGAGATGGAAAACCTGAGCAAGAGGTCACAACTAATAATCGGCACCATTTCTTAATAGTAACTATAATGACAGGAAATGAGTACTTTAAATTCTAATGGTCTAATGATGATAATATTTGCAAACTCAGTTTAATCAAAATAGTGATGACATACTAGCAAAAGTTTCTCAAGTAAGCGACATGGCATGGAACGGAAAGGGTTAGATACCTGCAAAAACACGGCCTCATTTGAAACAGACAGAAACACAGGGCAGAAATCCACATATTTAGGGATACTTAAATCAGTGCTGAGTGCTTACTGTGTTATCAGTAGAGCTCACTCCTTCATCACCTCAAAACAACTCCTTGCCACACCCAACGTATCCCACGTACAGTGAAATCAGCACTGGGACAACAAGTTTTCTGACTGTCTCAATCTCCAGAACAGAGATTTTGTGTTGTTAATTAGGCTACCTGAAGTCTTGTTTTCAACAAGCCCCAAAAATTCAGGCAGATGGCTGAGCCTGGTTTTGCCTAGTCTGACTAAGCATTCCCTCAAACCACTTACAATCTATCTTGGGCTTTTTACAAACGATCAGTAAACAGATCATAATTGATCAATAATTGATCATAATGATCAAATTGATCAATAATCAGTGAATCTAAAACAGGCCACAGACAGCAATTTACCAAAGAGATAATATAAACATAATTAACCTGATCCAAAAAATTGTCAAAATTACAACAAAGCACATGCCTAAGCACAGCCTTTCCCTCTCAACTGTATGTCTCCAAGAAATTATTAATCAACCACAATTTTTAGAAATGAAATTATTAAACTGCTACAAGAACCAAAAATTATTTGAAAGTATTCACATCAATTTAGCACAAAAGCTAAGAGATGCTTACCCTCAGAATCACTAAAACCAACAACAATCCAGTTCGCACAAACCGTTAAAGACACTAGACATGCCAGCTTAACCGCAATGTAATTGTAAAGTCATACCAAAAACAAAATCTTTTTCAAATCTGACGCTAGTTTAATCTTAAGGAGGATTTCACAGCAGTTAGTCTCTTGAGGAAATATATAATTAAGTAGTTTTTTAGCATATTTAATTAGACCCCAAACTCTTCCCTGTCCCCTTCTCTCCCCAATTATGTACCATTTGCCCAAGAGACCTAAGCAACTCAGTTAATTATGTAAATAAGGCAAGCGTTATTCCCAAGAAAAGCATTGTGAATATTTGTACGTGAAAAAACTGTACATATTTTAGTGGCTTTAACAAACCTTTGTGGGGGAAAAAAATAAGGGACTACCAAAGTACATGAAAAATCCTTATATTTGAGGCAAAAAGCATGGAGTACAATGACAAGATGGTGAATCATTAAAACAGGACACTCATTTCACTTGTTAAATATGAGCTGAATAAAAATAAAATAATTTTAAGTTACAACAGTAACAAAAATTTAGTGCTGAACGTCAAATGATTTATGGGAAGAATCAATCTGGAAATTATTAAAGTCGACTCTCACAGAAAAGGCTTTATTATCAAGGGGTTGACACGATCTTAACTCTAGAGGCAGCCATGGTGCTGTTATAACTACTACAATCCCATTATTATGCAATCACAAAATGCTAATTTGATCATTTTGAGGTGTTATTTGAATAGTCATTTTAATTTCTAGGTTACAAAAAGGCTTGACTCAAGTATAATTCTCTATTAATCATTGAGATGTCATTGAATATCATATTGATGCATTTCACAAAGATAAAGAAAGACTAATTTAATATGTACAGTACAATATCCTTCAAATATTAGCCACTTTCATTACGTATCTGCCAAATGCATCAATATTAAATAATAGATGAGAACAAGGGTTTAATTGTATTTTAGCAATTGTAATATGTAGGATAACAATAAAATAGCATAGCATCATAAGATAGACTTATCGATATATAAATCTTTCTTAATCAAAGTGTAATGGTGACTGCCCCATGTACACATCCTTTGCTGATTACAAATAGATCTGATATGACAAAAGCACCCAGAGTCTTAAATGTAAACACATCTAGCAAAAGTAATTCCTTTGTGACTGAGGAAATGGCTTCTTCACAATTTTTAAAAAATTTCTCCTGGCACTTTAAAAGTTAGATATATACCAAGAACACTTCACAACTTTCTGTCAAATCCAAAGCTAAGTAATTTATAACAAAATCTAATGTATAATGAGAGTTCTAGGACATAATATTTTAAGAGATCTATGCTATTTTGTTGGCATCAAAGCATTATTACATAGTAATTATTCCGGCAATTATGCCCTCAAACAATGAGATGGGATCAGGCAATGGAAGCAAATAAATTCCAGCCCTATAACCTAAATCCAACAATAACTTCTCACATATCTAAATGAATCAATGGTTGTTTAAAAAAAAAAAATCCCCTACAGTCCAATTCTCTGTTTTCCAGAGGCTGACATTCCTGTCCCCTAGAGGGATCCATCCTCCTCTTTGCCACATTCCACAGGAAGAAACAGGAGCGGTGGCAGGGGCAGGCTAAAGAGAAGCTTTACATCAATACAATCTCTCATTTACTCAAGGTACTTGCAGAGGTTTTTTGGAGGCAACTCCTGAGCATATTAGTATCTTTATGTAACTTACGCATTTTATCTCCTTTCCCACCAACATCAATAACCTCACTTGCCCATGGCCATATATGCTTACTTAAAACTATGGAAACATGCTGAACCGGCTGAGAAAGTGTTTTGAAGAGAAAACATCTTGCTCAAAGATGACAACTGACCACACCAGCACCTAACCAGAAATTGAATATGAAAAATACAAACATAAGCAAAGAGCTGTATGTTTATTAATTGCAAGGGTGTTAAAATAAGACAAATTGTACACAACCCCCAACAAGCGATACTCAGCACCCCCCACCACTACCAGACAGCAAATACAATGGCAATAAATACAAAAATCAACTGCTACTGTCGCCTGAAAGAAGCCCAGCTCAGCTTAGCGCAGAAACACAGAATGGCAGGGAATGTGGGGGGCGG